CGGCTTATTGAGATCACAAGGGCATTGAATACCTACCGACGATTTGGATGAGTGGAAGGAGTCAGTCAGTGACTAGGACGGATGGGAGTATTGTATAGTCCGTCGGATACAGTGGTAGAAGAACACCTAAGATTAACTATGGAAGATTTGGCATGCAATCTTTTGTATGATCAGGTTTTGGGAATGGATGATATAGCAGGTGTATGTAACTCCTTGGAAATTTTGGGCTTTTGGGCCATTTATGTAATAGTTAGTAGAATCATAATTTCCCAAAAACCTTGAAAAAATTATTGTAATGATGGATGTAATCGTGCAATGTAAAATATAATGAAGCCTATTATGTATTATGTTGGTGTTAAATGAATGCTTGAAATTTTTTTATTGGTGATGTTTAGTGATCAATGTTATGGTTACAATGTAATATGTTAACTGATGGGTTATGGGCACTACATCATTCCTATGGTGTACATGCAAACCCTAAAGCTTTGGATCTAGTTTGTCTAATGAACATGCAATAATCATCCAAAGCCATAAACCCTAGATCTAGCATGTGATAATCGATATTAGCATAAGAATAGGGTTTAGATCTTACCTTGATTGTTATGTAGCAATAACAATCTCAATTCCTTCTTGTAATTGGCTTTAGAAAGCTTAGTGTCACAAATGTCACACCTCTAATGGCTCACAAACACCTAGAGCAAGAGGATGAAGAAGGAGAAGAGAAGAGGCACCCAAAAACGTCCAGAAACCCTAAGGAAACTCTTAGCCACGTTTTTGGTGCCCTAAGGGTCCTTAAATAGTGAGGCTATTAGGGTTATCTAACAAGGAAACCCTAATTTGACTGCTTAGGCCCTAAGCAGCCCATGGACTCCCTCATTAGAGGCCTTGGACGATTTCTAATGGGTTTCCCCATAGAATTCGTCCACTCCTTTAATATGGAGTCCATTAGCCCAATATTTAACTATCACACAATTGATAGTTCTAGTCCCCTAAGTTTAATTAATCTCTTTTAGCCACAAAATTAATTCTTAATTAATTATTGACTAATATTAATTAAACAATATGATTTCTCCTTTAATATATTATTCTCATAATATATTAATAAATCATAATTAATCCTTTCTCTCTCCATAATTCATCATATCAAGTTGCTTTGGTGAAGGCAACCCAAAAGGACCATGCACCATCGGGTCAAGTACATACCAAAATAGTTATGGACTTAGACACTAATCCAACAGTCTCCCACTTGGATAAGTCTAATAACTATTTTGCGTATGGCTTCATATCCTGATCCGCAATAGTAGCTTTCAAAAGCCGCTGTCAACTCTGATCTTATCAGAAGCGTGTCCTTTAGATAAGGGATCATATATTCCTCCATTCTTGATATCGTATACACTGAGACATGGATTTAAATCATTCTCTCTGTCTATATATTGTTTCTCGACTTCCGATTTATGACAACTGACAACAGACTACAATTGAACACATCAACTTAGTCCCGGCTTGGCCAAGCGCTTAGGTGTCATCACTAAAATCATCGAGGGGCCCACATATATCGCTTTTATCCCACTTTGGGTAAAAGGAACGGATAAACTTCGATTCAATGCTCGCTTGTACTCACTCACCGAATCACACACAACAATACGTTTTATAACACTAAGTTACTGGTGCGTTTACATATTATCAATGTGTAACCAACTCGCAAGGTACAACTTACACATCTCGGTTTCAAGAATACAAGATATTATCGTCTCACCAATCACTCGTGATAAAATCCATGAAGCGATCCAAGTGAGCGTGGGTTTATTCCAATACTCTAATCTTATAGCAGCACTCATGAACCCTGCAACAAACTTTTGCTATGTCTAAAACACTTTAGACAATCTACAGTCAGATTCATGACAGTCTTCTTTCATTCCTACTTCCAAAGAATGAGTGACTGTGGAGGGTTTGAATAATCTCATTATTCGGGAAGTCAAAACATGCAAAGTGAAACACAAGAATAATACTAATCCTATATGGCCTCAAACCTTTGAGTATAAATAAAACATTTTATTTAATCACCATATTGATTACTCATTATTTGTTGTTTCGGGTAATCAACTTCTTACTTGAATTATAACAACAATTGTCCCATGCTCTTAGCATGCACACTATGTTTTCCTATGGTCCTTACTTTGTGAAATAGTATAATTGAATAACATTTTCAATCACACTCATTTCACAATTCCTAATCTATTAGTGTAAGAATACAAAATTCTCGCCACTACTAGAATATGTTAGATTCTAGCATTTTATGCAACGGTTCTTTCGTAATATCATAGCGCCAAAGTCACCAAGACTTTGTGCTCTATTGGAAATTGTTTACAAGACAATTCCATAGTTGTGAAATCTCACATTCAAAGTACATTCCTTTGAACATTCTTCTTGCATAAAAGTTTCTAATCTAGACATGATTCTCGATATCCACTCCCAATATGGAAACATTTCCATATTTGCCATATGTCAACTCATTCTAAATAGAATCTGGTCAGCAACGGGTTTGATCAGTGAGTGAGTATGAGTCTACCAACAGAGCTTGATCATAGGCTGACAGACGGGCGTAAGAAGTGTAGCCGATTTTAAGACAGATTTCACTCAGGGACTCAGCGAGTCAGCAATGGGTGCCAGACGAAGAAGATGGTGAAATCGGAGACTTGGGACAAACAACGGAGAGGGATTGGTGCGGTATCAACGTATTTCACAAAAAAAAAGGTTTTTAGCTTTATGGATTGAGGGTTTTAACTTTCTTACTTATAGATTTTTCAAAATTTACAATATCCCTCTCAAAAATCAGAAAACACATCCCAAAGACTCTTCAAATAATTGGCACTTCTTCAGATTGTGGGCAATTCCTAGATTGTTAACATGACTAATGTTAATGGAGAAAAAAGTTTGAGGTCAACATTTTTAGAAAAGAGTTTGACATTGTAATTTCATGAGATAATAATCTACTTTTAAAGGGAGTGCCTTTCAAGTGTTTAAAAAAAAGTGTATGAGATATTAGTACTTATATCTTATGTGAAATGTGCACTTCTTATTACAAACCTTTTGCGAAGTTATTTTCTACAGTATCTTATAGTTGTTTTTGGTTAATTTATCTTTGCCTTGTACTATGCCACTTTCCTTTCTTTTTTTAATACAAAACCTATTAAAAATATAACAAAAACAAAAACATGGAAGCATATTCAACCAATTAAAACAAATCAGCTTAAGCAGGTGCGTGATGGGTTTTTGCATATTGCCCCATAATATGGTGGCTAAAAGGTAATTTGTGCAACAAATAGTAATGCACTTTCATTTATTTGATTTTTATAGCTTCAAACTTTTTATGGAAGAAAAAAACACATAGACACACACTATTAGGTACATAGTGTCACAAACACACAAAACTAGAAAAGGTAATCTGTACAACAAATAACAACGCACTTTCATGTATTTTGATTTTTATAGCTCAAATTTATTTATTGAAGAAAATAGACTCATAGACACAGACAATCAGATACACATAAGCACACACAATCATATACATACACATAAACACACACAATCATAAAAGGTAATATGTGCATCAAATAGCAATGCACTTTCATTTATTTGATTTTTATAGCTTCAATCTTTTTTATTGAACAAAATAGACACCTAGACATACACAATCAGATACATATAGGTCAAAACACACAAACATTCAAATACACATAGACACCCACACTGTCGCATACGCAGTCACATATATAATCACATACAAAGTCAAAATTATTTATACAGGGACCATTTATTTTATTTTGAAAGCTAACTGAAACATAAATGTACTTTTAAAGAGAGTGCCCTTCAAGTATGTCAAAAAAAGTTGGAAGAAAAGCATTGAAACCGATGGCAGAAAGCCAAAAATCTTCAAATCTATCAAAAGAATGAATATTGAAACCGATGCAGAAACAGAATGAAGGTTGCTACCTTACGGATGCCAAAAAGTAAATTCAGAAGAATGTTCAAATCAGAGAATTATTAAGGTATATAAGAACATAAGTAATTGGGCCATCCTTTATTATTATATTTTTTGATAAGATTACATTTTCTGATTTATTGTCTAATATTTTGCTGATTTATTGGGATAATTGAATATTTACTAATTTAAAAATTCCTATTTTTTAGGAACGATTTTTGGATGAAAGAATAGGTGGGACAAATAAAGTCAGGAGATCCGGTCAAGAATTGATGAGATTGCAATTATATAAAGAAATTAAGAAATGAGGCAAAACAATAAAAAAATTGTCTTATTACTCAAAATCCCGATGGTGGCATCATAAGGTACTTGATATGATATTGGAACACATGAATAAGATAAGGTAACATCACACTCAATTATTTAGTTAGTCTGATTTCCAGAACGAAATCTATTCTAAAGAGGATGAACTTGTAACATCCCTAAGTTTTGACAATATTTTACTAGCTAGATATATATTATGAAGTTATTATAAATTATTCCATCTACTAAGTTGCAAATTAATATCTATTATATATTTGGTGTAAAATTATTATTTATGTGCTTATAAAATCTACCTTCCAATAATGAGAGATTTTGAGAACCAAAATATAAAATACGTTGGATATATTAGACTACGACAAAAATATATCAAAATGTAGATAAAAGTAAAACGATCTAAAAAGTATATTTATAATTTTACAAAATATTATATATTAAACATTATCAAAGAAAATTAATTTTTTATTAAGTATATATTGCATAACAAATCGTCAACTGAAATAAAAGTATAAGACGGATGTATGTGTAACCAAATTATTTATCATGAGTGTGTGATAATAATAATTACAAGATGTATGCAAATGTAATATTCATTTTTGTGATAATAATTAACTCAGTATAGTCTAAAATATAAGACCGAGATCCATATGTGTATGTTGGTGAAAACGATTGGAATAACGATTTTAAAATTTTTAAATAATCATTTAGTAACACCTTTGGATATAAATAGTAAACTATGAACTTATTTTATTATACAAATGGCCCGTGGACGTATATAATTGGAATGTTTTCCAACATACGGTACATAAAGTAATTTAAAAAGTAAATGATATAATAATTTAAAAAGTAAAATGATATCAGCAATCGGTCACATTTTATGGTACCAAAATACACCTGTGTGTTTGTTATCTTCATCAGGCTCGATATAGATGCATTCTTTAGCCTCTCTCCACATTGCTTTAAAGATTGGAGTCCTATCGATCTTATAGTACTCACCCAAAACTGGAATGATAACATCCCTTGCCTCCTTTGCATGATAATGTGGAATGTACGAAATCAGATGATGCAATACGTGAGTGTGTGTAACGTCATGGAAAACCCTATTCAGGAATCCAAAGTCCCTGTCAATTGTTGACAATGCCCCTCTGATCCAGTTCCATTCACTTGAATCATAATGGGGCAAAGACAGATGGGTGTGGTGCAAATACGTTATGATAACGAAAAACACATGCACTCCTACCACTGGAACTCCATATATACAGGCTACCCAAGCAGCTCCTTTTGTTGTTACAGCAATCTTGATTGCATAAAAGACGGCAAGAAGACCAAGATCTGATAACAGGACCTGGATTCGCTCACGCTCGGTGAAAATTGGACTCATGGGATCAAAGTGGTTGGCAAACCTTCCATATTTCTTGCCAGAAATATTAGTTAAGAGGTATAAAGGAAATCCTAGAGTGAACCTAAAAACCAAAGTGAACAGTCGACCAGGTGGGTTGTTAAGAAGTTTTGAGTACCACCTGACTTTAGACTTGCGTTTAGGAATGTAAACTTCATCATTATCGAGCGAATTTGTGTTGGCATGGTGATTTCGATGGCTATATTTCCATGAGAAATAAGGTGTCATGAGAGCTGAGTGGAGGATGAAGCCAACAATGTCATCAATTAATTGGTATTCGCTAAATGCATGGTGACCGCATTCATGACCGATGACCCATAAGCCAGTGAGGATGCTTGCTTGACAGAACCAGTAAACTGGCCAAGCTAAGTAAGCCAAAGGAGCTGGAAGAAAAGGAATATATGTATTCGCAAGGAAGTAGAAAACGTAGGCAACAATCAGATCGTGAACAACATAGTAAGATGAACGGATGACGGATCGTTTGAAGCAATGGGCAGGGATCGCTTTCTTTAAATCACTTAATGAAAACGGCGGATCAACTGGGACACGTTCCAGGATCTTTTTACCATCAAATGGATCGTTTGACATCCTACCACCTGCACCCATGTTGTTGATAGATATGATTAACCTGCAAATGTAAAGAGTATTGTGAGATTTATGTAAACTAAACATAGAAAGAATTAATGACAAAAACCTAAAGCTCGTGGAAAATTAAAAAGAAAAACAAACCTATAGAGACAAGTTATGTTGGAGTTCTCTTCAGTAGGTGGTACTCTTCTAGGGTCGGCCTTGCTTCTTATTTATAGTCCAAGATTTGCAAAAATTTATCGGCTCACTTGTCCTACTGACTATCTACTATTATTTCATTTTTCTACAAACTTTTACTCTTTAGGAGAGACTACTATTCCAATTTGGCGGCTCTAAATACGAGACGCGTATCTTTAATATATCAATGCATTACGCATGTGTAGATATTTATATATTTAGATGTGCAGATCTTATGTGAAGATCAAATTATTATTTATTTATAGATAGTCCAAACTATTGTTAGTTGTAGAAATATTAACTATTCTTATATATGATTTGTTAGTTGGGTCTTCGTCTTCTAGTTTGAAACAATAATTGCAATCAATATATATATATATATATATATATATATATATATATATATATATATATATATATATATATATAAGGTTTAGGTTACTCTATTTTAACTAATTATTGTGTGTATTGTATGCATAAATGTGGGCCAATCATTTTACTTATTTTAAGAAAGTGATTAATACTATTATTAAATTAAAGATAGTTGAAAAAATCATCTAATTTCATTATAAGGGTATTTTAGACAATTGAGATAAATTTAAAAAAGGAAAATTCCATATTTTTTGGGATAATTAATTCTCTTGATTTTAAAATTCTAATTTTTTAATTACTTGAATTTTAATTATAACGTAATTTTTATAATTAAACACGATTTTATTCTGTTAGAATCATATTCTCTAGGAATTTCAGGATATATATTTGATATTCTATTAGAATGCTAACACAAACTAATAACAAATTTTTGGATACAACTTCAAATTTTTCATTACATTCTTAAAAATATGAAAACTTTATATAATAGTCTATGACAATGAAATACTCACTAATAACAAACAAAACCATGTATATTATTCTGTTAGAATGTCATTCTGTTAGAATCATATTCTCTAGGAATTTCAGGATATATATTTCTATTAGAATCATATTCTATTAGAATGCCAACACCGACTAATAACAAAATTTTGGATACAACTTCAAATTTTTCAACAGCTTTTTCATACGGTTTTTCATTCTCCCATCCAAAAGATAGAAAAACTGTGTTATCAATTTCAGCCTTCTGACTTGGTGAATCTGCCATATACCACTTTCATTTGTAGTGTTTGTAAGAACAGAAAATGCTGCTGTGCCAACCGCCGCCAGCTCATCATGTTCTAAATCAGAATCACTATCATGCTCCCGAAACCTCTTCACAGAAGTTTTCGCCTCAATTCCATCATTAACCGAATGCTCAGCAGTTACAGCTACCTCTGAAACTCGGTGAAGATTAGTTTGCATTTGTATCCACCGATTCAAGGTCGGAAACCTGAATTAGAAGTTAAATGGCATTCAAAATCGGGTAACCAACTAACTGAATTCAGTTATATATGGAGAAAAGACAAAAGTAGCCTCTCGGATTGATCAAGTGCAAACTCAAAGAACAATCTATCAGCATCATGCTTCTGGACTGACCCTGGCCCATCAGTCAACGAGCCTGACATGGTTGATGAGTAGTCATTGCCACCATATAAAATACAATTCCCAAAAACACATGCTAAAACAGCCCTGACTGGTGACATTTCACAAGATGCTTTACAACATCTAACTGAAGAGGGTGCAGGGGAACTCCAGGTGTGGCTGAGGACGGACAATAAGAACTCGGCTTGGCTTCTTTTGAAGATGGGGATAAAAGTTTACCCTCTGAATCCTCTTCGTGTCCTATTTCTTCAGACTTACCCTCTTCGTGACAGCAAAAAAACAATTGAATCCACTAGTTAAACAGGGATTTATATCATGAATCCGCTGAGAATCGACATACCGATCATCAATTTCAATGGAAATTAAATCAGTAAACTGAAAGAAAATGGAGAATCGAGATACCGATCATCAATACCAAAGATAGGGTTTTCTCTAAGGGGCTGAAACGAGAATCGACCAAGAAACCTCGCAACACACTTGCCATAGATACGCGAACGAGTTCGCTGAACCAACTGCCGCCTCGAGGAGATCGAATAAATTGGACTGTTGGGCTTCGATTTGATGAAGCTGATTGCGGATCACAGATAAGTCTTCGGATTCTTGTTGGATTGTGACCTACGACACAGAGAGGAAGAAAGAGGCGGATTTAGGATTTAGTTCACCTGTGTGATCCTATTACGGTGTAGGTGGATTTTAATAGGGTTAATAATAAACGGATCCCTGATTATAGGGATTATTTTTGGTAGTTATTAAACAAATTACTATATTACCCTTATTTATTTATTTAATTATTTAATTTTTTATTTAATTTTGATCGGCCCACATTTATGCATAGAATAACACAATAATTAGTTTTAAACAAATGAACCTAGCTCTCTCTCTCTCTCTCTCTCTCTCTATATATATATATATATATATATATATATATATATATATATATCTATATATATAATATATATATATATATATATATAGATATATATATATATATATAGCTAGAGCTAGATTCAATTGTTTAAAATATTTATTGTGTTATCGTATGCATAAATGTGGGCCAATCAAAAATTAAAATATAAATAAATAATTAAATAAATAAATAAGGGTAATTGGGTAATTTTATAAACAACTTCCCCAAATACTTTCCTATAATTATGCTAGTTGATTTAACCTAATTTATCCCCTTTATAAACAACTTAAAACAACTTCCCCCAAATTCATCGATGAATGTGAGAAGGAAAGCACGAAGCGGCTGCAAGGTCCAATGGATGTCGATCGATTGCAGGCTAAGGAAGCGTCTCCGGGGTCGACGAGACTGAAGCAACGAAGTGAAGCCTGTCATCGTTACCAACGCCGAGGGGCAGAGGACGACGCCATCGGTTGTGGCGTACACGAAGAACGGAGATAGGTCTGCTTGGTTATCGGATGCTATTTGCTTCAAGAACACATCAGAGCTTCTGGAGGATTCAAGAACGCTTTCACCAAGAGCAATGACATTTCCAACACCATCGGTATCGTTCTCTTGTTCGTCTTCCCTGTCTGGGCTATAATCGGGTTAATATTCTGAGATTTTTTGTGCTTTATGTGTATTCGATAACATGAATCCTCCGATTGATGTGTGCATTGAAGGTTCGTTTGTATTTATGTGATGTGAGTCTTTTTTTTCTTTGATTCGAATTCGCTAAAACACCTTCTAAGGTACTAATACAATTGGAGGAGTAAGAATCCCAGCTTCATTTTGTGGCATCCTTGGATTCCGGCCTTCACATGGAGTTGTATCCACAATTGGGGTTCTCCCTAATTCACAGAGTTTAGACACTGTTGGTATGTTGTAGTCTTGGTATGTCCTATGTTTTTTCATGTAGTCTTTTAGTTTTTGTCAAACTATATGTCAGTAGAAGTCTTCAGTTTTATTGCTGTTTCTTTATATTTCATGTGTTTGATGATGAAAATCTTTCAGGAATTTTTGCTCGTGATCCTTCTGTTTTGCATCGTGTTGGGCATGTTCTTCTTAGATTGAACCTAGTGGAGCCTAGAAGAACAAGGCGCATAGTTGTGGCTGATGATTTATTTCAGTTATCTAAAGCTCCTCAACAGAAAACTGTATATATTGTTAGCAAAGTAACTGAAAAGTTATCTGGTTGTAAGTTCCTTCCCAAATTTTTATGGGAATATGGATGCTTTTGAATTGTTGAAGGAGAAGGTTTTTACCATTTTACTATTTTACCCTTTTACTCCATTAAAGAACTAATTTTGTTTGTGGTTTTAGGGAAATGCTGCATATAAAGGAAGACAATGGAATAAGGCTGTGAGCTATTACACTAAAGCTATTAAGTTGGATGAATCCAATGCTACTTTTTACTGGAACAAGCAGCTGCGTATTTAGAATTAGGATGGTATGTTTTTTTTTACTTTGAATTTAATTTATTTTTATATATAAAATTGTTATTAATTTTGTTAATGAATTGATGATGGTTATGTTTATATCATAACTTTCAACAAGCTGAGGAGGATTGTAGCAAAGCAATATCAGAAGTTGGAATGGAATGACGAATTCCAATTCTGTTCGAATCACAGAAGTTGATGCTTGAAGAACGGACCACAAAATTGAAATGGAATCAAGAATTCCAATTCTGTTGGAATGGAATGACGAATTCCAATTCTGTTGGAATCACAGAAGTTGATGCTTGAAGAACAGACCATAAAATTGAAACGGACCACATTATTCTTTTAGAATGTATTAGTCGTTGTTAGATTTTGATGTAATTATTTACAATTGTTACCCGTATTCTACAAGAAATAATGTATTTGTTGTTTTTATTCTTCAATTGATTGTTCAACAATTTGTTATTCTACTATAAGTTTTTAAATTCATGATAAAGAAATAGGTTCAAGAATATTTTTATTATTTATGATTCAAGAATATTTTTATTATTTATGATTCAAGAATATTTTTATTTTTGAATATACTCATAAACATATTCTGTCAGAATGTCCGAATTAAAAGAATTATAATTCGTAAAATCGGATTTTTAAAAATAAAAGAATCTACGATCCCTTAAAAAATGCAATTTTCCTTTATTAAATATATATCAATTGACTAAATTACCCTTGTAATTAATTAAGATGATTTTTTCAGTTATATTTAATTCAATAATATATATTAATCACTTTCTTAAAATAAGTAAATTTGATTGACCCACATTTATGAATACAATAACACAATAATTACTTTAAACAAAATAACCTAAGCTTATATATATATATATATATATATAGATATATTATATATATATAATATATATAATATATATAAACAGGATCGGATGAAGGCTATTTTTACGGTGAGTACTCGTAAATACACCTTAAAAATATTTTTTAAAAAAATAATAAAAAAATACAAATCATAAAATCGAACATAGTAAGATATCAGAGAGAAAAAAAATATTGAAAAAAAAATTAAACCATTAAAATTGAAGCATTCATCATTTTTATGATCCATGATTCACATTTTATGATCAATGATTCAATTTTAACGATTAACAAAAAATAATTCCAATCTTTTTTTCTTTCCGATATACTATTATGCTCGATTTTATGATTTGTATTTTTTTTTTTTATTTTTTTTTAATTTCTTTAATTTTTTTAAGGTATCCTCACGAGTCGTCATCGAAACCGGACTATATATATATATATATATAGATATATATATATATATATATATATATATATATATATATATATAGAGTAGATCAAATGAGAACACCAAAAAGGTTGAGAACGCGAACAAAGTATATTCATTTGCGATTCCATGTATTCATTTGTGGAGAATTATAAATTTTTAAGCCTTTAATTTCAATTGAAGAGAAAATACATATTTATGTTGATTGTGCGTAAAAATTTATAATTTCTCCACAAATGAATACATGGAATCACAAATGAATATATACTTGTTCTCGCGTTCTCAACCTTTAGGTGTTCTCATTTGATCTTTTCCCTATATATATATATATAATATATATATATATAATATATATATATATATTATAGATATATATAGAATAGATATATATATATATATATATATATATATATATATATATATATAGATCTATATAGATATATATAAGGTTCATGTGAGACCATCATATTTTGTGAGACATGGAAACGCAAGCCTCGCCATCCATTTTTGAGATTAAAAAAATATTTTTAAAATGCAAAATAAATGAAATTTTTCGAATTTTTTTTAAATATTATTTTCTTCATTTTTTTATCCAAAAAAATATTGAAAAAATACCGTTTTTTTCAAAAAAAAAATACATGAAATATTCTAATAGAATATTATATTGTAAATATTCAAATTGAATTTTTAGAATACTAGAGTATTCTACTAAAATATTAAAATATAAATATTCAAAAAATTCTAATAAAATATTAGAATATTCAAATAAATCTAAAAATTCATGTAGAATATTAGAATATTTTAACATATCCATCAATTTTAATAGAATATTAGAATATTTTAACATTCTAAAAATTCTATTTGATTATTTACAGTGTAATATTCTATTAAAATATTTCACTCATATTTCGAAAAAAACGGTGATTTTTTTTAATTTTTTTTGGATAAATTAAATAACAAATTAATATTTAAAAAAATGTATTTTTAGACTTTCCTATTATTTTGCATTTTATAATTTTTTTTTATTTTTTTGATATTCAAGATGAGTGGCTAGGATCAGGTCCCCATGTCTCATAAAATTAGCATGGTCACAAATGAATCTCTGCCAATATATATATAATAATATATATATATATATAAT